CTTTAACACAAATTTGTTATAATTTTTTAATAATCTTTAGTTATAAATATTCAAGTTTCCACATAAACTCTTATTTCTTACATTCACAAATGGTTTTGCGTTTAAATAAATTTTAATTCAGCATTAGTTTCAATATACAAAATTGCATTAAATATGCTTTAATCTACCTCAATTATATTTTCTACAATAATTTATCTATATTACTAACTTTTTCTATCGATTTTATCTACAGATTTGTTATGTGTCAGTAGCATAATTATTTTCCTTGTATTTACTTATTTATATTATTTATCTAATTATATACAATAATATCCCCTTATAATTCAAGTCACACAGAAGCATGCATATAATTCATACATATTTACAGTTAGACCAGCAGACATTAGCGCGTGCCAACAAATATTATAGAATATTAAAGCACGCATGAGTAAATAAGTGACAATTAAAAAATCTCTACACAAATCAAGTGCCATAAATCATTTATTTATTGAGTGAATGAAATATTTACTTGCAAGTGTAATGCGTATCGTAAACAAAAGTCGCAGCAAACAGTCGACTGCATAAATATTGCATAAACAAAAACTGCTCGTGTGGAAAAATGCATTAAATTTTCACTTTCTCTCTCTCTCTCTCCCACACATACACACACACACACACACACACAAAATTATGCGTTGTTATATTTATTAAATCTTAAATTCTATGTTTGTTGTGCGACAAAATGTTTGCATGTGTTTTTATCACACACAAAACTACAACAAAATAAATACCGTTATTGTACTACATTATTAATATTAATTTACAAGCATTGTATCTTCTTATCTTTAAACATTATTTACTCGCAGCTAATTGAGTTTCACAATGAATTTATACAAATTTACAAACAGTTGAGTGAACACAATGCCAATGAATTTGATAAAGATTTAATTGAATTTGCGCGTTGCCATCATGATTTAAGGATGGAAATATCTATTGTGAATGCAAATTAATTCATTGCATACATAAATGCGGATGATATATACATACATATGTGCCTATAAACAATGCTCTAACTGTTCTAATTGTCCGTTATTATCCAGTTTTAAAATTTTAGTTATGTTCTTTCTCAAATTTAGATGAATGAGATGAATGTTCTCTCTGCTCTCATTTCTCTTAAAAACCTTTCACTTTTCTACAGTTATATCTTCCTGTTCTGGCAACTATCAGGCATTCCCATAAACGCAAGCCGCTAGAATTGAATCTACCTCCATATAGCTTACCGAATTGGCTGACAATTCAAAGATGCCGAAATAATATCTTGAACATATCGTTAAATAATATAATATCTGGTTTTGTTCATAAGAGTGCTATTGAACAATGGTGGGCTGAAGTTAAAAGAGAAAATTGAAGTGCGAGTCCTTCCCACAAGGCGACACAACACTACAGTGTTTTTTGGCTAGAAGTGGCTGCTATTAAGGTAGCAGTAGATTTATTGATGAGCCAGCAAGCACACATCTGAGCGGGCACGAGTACGATCTCCATTGTCACCTCTCTTGTACTTAGAAGGCGCTGGTTGATGACTAGCTCTTGTGCGACCGCGAGGTCATTGAAGCCTACCGGGTTTGTCCGGAAATTAATAGGACTGAGTCCTTCTGCGTCGATGCAACGCTGCCAGTGCGACTTTCAAGCATTGAAGGCGTGAAGAAAGGTATTCTCTGGAATAGCCTTGCGATTCGATATGCATGCTGCTTGTATCCCCTCTGTCGTCTCAAAATGCTTGCTTTCACCGGGCTTTTCAGGCAAGGGTCACATCTGAGCCGTAGGGCGGCTACGGAAGCGTTGGAATGCCGGCCTTTGTTAGATAGCTGTTCACAAGTAAGGCGGTGTGAGCCGGGGCATTGTCGTGGCGCAACGAATACTTAGTCGACGGTCTGAGTTCAAAACTTTACACACACGAGTCACATTGTCGGTGTTTGTCGAAGTCGCAAGTTTCCCAGCACGGTCTTCATCAGTTACCTCTTCCTGGCCCTCCAAAAAGGTCTTTCCGGCTTGCACTACTCACAGAAGCACGTCGCTCGAAAATATTTATTCTGACTCTTCAGTTGGTGGGAGACAACAGATCATTCACTCCTTCATTAGCTAAGAACGTCCTCTATCGAATCCACTCGTTGCGCGCACGCCCCGACAGTCGCGGTGGAAGAAAATCAATTATATTACTTTCCAGACAAACTCCATACAATAGAATGTAAGAGACTTCGGTAGTCTTCAACTGGTTCGTCGAAGGTATTTAGTCAAAAGTGACATTGGCTGTCTCAAAAAAATTAGGGATCGGCTCAAAGCGCTTTGTTCATTTATTACAACGATTCACGAATCAATGTAAACGATTTCGAAATTGCATGAATTAGGTTCGTATAGTTTATATATTCTCCGGAAGGCTTCCAAAGAGACTTGTTCTTTCCTTCTAAGAGGATAAAAAGAACTCTATGTTGTTGAATGAGAGTCGTTCCAAAAGTCATACTATAGATCTTCGATTGTTGCACCAAATTCTAATTTTCATTGTTTTAAGTACATATATATGTAGTAAAAAATCAATTTTAAATCCAGAAAAATGTATTCCCCTTTTAAAAATTGTTTATTGTGCGTTCCAAGTTCTTCTAGTTGAGATCATACATGAGCTTCTCCGCATTGTTGGGTTCCTCGCAATCGAAAGAAGCCATCATTAGTTCTGAAAATACACAAATAAATCAATTGAATTGCAGTACTAATGCATCTAAATTTAAATACAATTATATACTATAATTGAACAATGAGCTTAATAAAACTACTACCAAATGTTTTCATACATTGACTCACAGAAATCTTTAACAAAAAAGGCTTCAAAATTACTTAGGTAATGTCGGGTTAGGTTATGTGGTCGATCATAACAGGAATCTCTCTTGGACAGCTTAGGAAACCGGCTCCTTGTGTCACCTAATTTTCTGTACAATGGAACATAAGACCATTACAAATCCAAGAAGCGCTTTGGGTCTATCACAAATTTGTTGAGACGGCTAATGTCAGTTTTTGCTACGCCTTCCTGGTCGCCGATGGTAGAAATGACGAGATGTTTCAATCTTAATTTTGCAATTTGTTGAGAGGATTAATATCAGTTTTGGATATGTCTTTTGGTTCGCCGAAGTGACGATTGCCGACTTTTGACGTAGAAGTTCTCACTACACACTGTCCAATAGACATTCCTGCAAAACGGCTTAAAATCTTGTCGTACACTTAACGAGCTCAATATTGCCGCATTGCGGTCGGAGTGAAGGCTCATCTCCCTGAAAGAGTCTGCACTTGGTAGGAGCTTTACCGACACCTTAATAACAGCCATATCTGCCCGAAAACACTACCGCAGTCCGGTATCTTAAACTAATATTGATGAACAGTTTTTTACAGAAAACTTTACCTTTAATCTAACCTTCTTCAAATGACTTATTTTTTTCAGTTTCGCTTCAAAAGCTCAACTTCTCCCTTCTCCAAACTTGAACAAGGCCAAATGCTTGCTAATTAGTCCATCGTTTATAATTCTCAAACCACTTAAGTTGAAAAATCGAAAATGTTGTTCATACTCCATTTTGTTTTGGCTTGAATGATGCCACGTGGCAGAATCCTTTATTGCGCTTACATAGATTTTCAATGCTCTCTGCAAACAATACTCGCAGCAGTCTATAGTGAGCTCTGTCATCGCTATTGTTCTGCTGGTAAATAAGCTAGAATTTCAATATTGATAAAATGTCATAAACGTCGTCCAGCTTTGTCGCAAAAACATACCGAAATAGCTGTACATCAAGTTGACATACTTTGCACGAACAAGCCACCCACCAGCTGCCAACTCCTCTGCTCTCTCAGCGGACGAGTACGAGTAGTTGAGCGCTGGTTGTCCTTGGCAGCACTTTGTGTGTGTTTATGGACTAAAGTAGCACTTGGTTACAACATTTAATGGCTCGCCATTTGCTGACATTTTCGTTGGAAATTCCAAGTTATTTACTTAGACTATTTTTTTGCGAGCTTCTTTATTTTCATTTTGCAACTTTCGGACATTTGTCCCGTCGTGTGACAAAATCGCTGTTTTTTCAAAGCATGTGTGTGTGTGCTACCACTTGTTAACAAAGGCTAATGTTCTTGCGCTTGCTCATAGATACACATAAGCACACGTATAAGCGGAAATGTTTAAAATGCATTAAATGCTCGAGTGCTTTACGTCGGGAAATGCGAGTCTCTCAATGTAAATCTCAATCGAAGGGCAAATATTGCATGCCATCGATTTGATGATATTTGCCTTTGTGTGTGTACGGCAATGCATAAGGATCGCACACATATACTTACACACTTACTTATGTACTTACAAGCATCATGCGATTTTGGAGCACACTTCAAATATGTATTTGGCGATGAGTGCAATTGGATAACTTATCACACTGCATGTATAAAATTACGTGGCAACTTGTATTGGGCGTTATTGGCGAGTTTTCTCGCAAAACTCCCGCACAGCTAAACCTTTTCATAAGTACTTAAGGTGGAATTGCAATTGCATGACCATGAGTTATTTTCAATTTCCGTCTGCACGTACCTTTCAAATGAATCATTAGCGCTTTGCGCACGCATCGCCATTTGCGGGTAATAAGCGGGGAATATAGGGTATAAAGCGTATATAGGGGCACAAAGAAGCTTGGCGTGGCGCAGTTGCAGTATAAGTAATGACAATGGCGGTTTCAGAGAACACGCTTGCTGTAAATATGCTTGGTTGCTGCTGCGAAGGGGAAAGCCCTGTGAGAAATTATGATAGTGTTTGAGAATTTCAAATTTATATTTAGCTAAGAAAAAAATAATTCGATGATGGCAAATTTTAATATTCGTGGACATAGTACTTTGAGGCCAAGGCTGCTTTGGACTTAGGAAAACAGGGTATAAGAGGGACTCGGGCATAGACGCACTGAAATTTTCCACTATAACTCAGAATTTTCTTCCGGCGCTTCCATCACCGTTTATACACCCGGCAGGGATTTGTTTGCAGGGTGCATTCAGTGGAGAAGAGGTATAGTGAGATTTTTCACAGATGGATCGAAGTAAAGAGGAAGGAACTCCACATTTTAATCTTCTGACGGGAGCTCTCCATCAACTGTAGCTTCCCATCGAGGGCGCAGTAAATATAATGCTCTTCGAATAGGTATTGCCGAGCGGCAATACTGGCTGTGAGCTCGCTGACTGTGGCCTGATAACTAGTCAAGGAGCGCAAGAATAGTAATTTCGAAAAGTTTCTTCCATAATACACTTTTAAGTCAATGAGCTGGTTAGTTAAGGTACCGTTATTCAATTTTATCTGATTGGAAGCGAAACGTTTTTTCAATGTTCTCCTGGGTTCTAGCACTACATTTATAGACTACCAGTGAGCCCGCCAAAAGCTGATTAACAACCAGAGCTCGTGATAGGCGATATTCTCAGCCAAGTCCATCTCGTCGCAATTGTTAGAGTTCTGAATGGACAGTGTCCAATAGGTTCACACATTTAAAGCGTGGTCCAGTTCGAGGTTCCCTACTTCAAATTTAATGACTAATGGTTATTATAATTCATAAAATAATATTTTACCATGTTGTGCATATTCCCTCCTAGTTTCCAATGACTTGCTTGATCATTTCGACTGTGAACTGACACTCGTAATTTTTTGCCAGCATAGAATTAAGACTCTACATATCCCCACAGGAAAGAGTCAACAGTGTGATTTCATACGATCTTGGATGTCAGTCGACCGGTCCAAAACGTGAAATTATCTGCTAACCAAATTTTATGGGGTCAATGATCACTGACCTTTTGGCTTACATTTATACATAGCGTCAGTGACCCTTTGTTTACATTACAGGGATATTTGACCTTCTTTTGTACGTGTTGATAAGGTCAAGTCCATAATCTTTGTTTATATTTAGCCAGGTCAACAACCCTTGTGGAAAACTTCTCAATTGGTGAGATATCTTCATGGCATTTGACATTATTGTCTAAGCAATAATGCAACCGTCAAAGAAATGACTTTATTCAAATCACGTCACAACGCGGCGTGACAATCTCCTAAACGGAGTCGCTTTTCTTCTATAGTTTCGCGTGAGGTTATGTCATGACTTTTAACTCACATCACGAGAGAGAGAGAGCGAAAAAATTAAGTTTTTTCTTTTTTACCAAACCCAAGGAATTGATATTGACCGCCTTGATACATTTGTGATGAGCTCAAAACGCTTGTCCATCTTTGAGGTGTTGCACTTTAAGTAGTTTTTGGGTAACATAACAGACAATTATCTGTTCAAGTGAGATTCATCGATTTTGAGACTAACTCTACGACTTATATGTTTCTATGATCTTTTTAATATTTTATTAAAAAAATCTATTAAATAATTCAAACATTTCTTAGGATTATATATATTATAGTCTCATTGAAAAGTTCCGCATCTGTGTGCCTGTACATGCCTCTCAATGACCAAAACACACAAATCATTGTTTAAAATAATGAATGGGCCTTCATAAAAGCTTTCTTTGCCACTCAAATAATTTCCCGACCTGTTGCAACTTGCGCACTTCCCCCCTCCGCTGTGTTGCCAACCATCGCCAGCAAAACTACGCTCTAATAAATTATGAATGAAAAGGAAAATACAATAAAAAAACAAGAGATTGAAATGGGCGAACCTTGAATGCGGAAAACATACATATCTACGAATTCTTTGAAATTGTTGCCGCCGCTCTTAAATTAAATTAAAATTATTTCAGAATTTCGTTTAGTTTTCCAGCTAATTCCTGCGCTCGCCGCTGACGCCGGGTAATTGGTAAAGGGCACGTAAAACATTTGCCACAACAACAACAGCAATACTCTTTCAACTTTATTAGCTGCCAAGGAAAGTTTGTAGCCAACTTTGCAGTGACGCAGGCGACGCGCATAACTAAGGATGACTGGTCAGGAACTTGAAGTATAACAGTAAAACGAAAGTTAAGTTTATTGTTATAACTATGCCGTTGTTGCTTTGGCATTCGCTAATATGCAGTTGTTGTTATGGCTGGCGAGGCAACACGAGTGCCACACGGTGGGTGGAAGCTGAGTCAGCGAGGTGTGGCCGCCGGGGCTACGCGAAATGCCAACGCAGAAGTGGCTGTTGAAAACCTTCTAAAATACTTGACCCACATATATAGTTGAAAGCGGGGCACTACATGCGTGTAAGCTTATACTATGTGTGTGTAGTTGTTTTTATGAGCATGTAGTTGTGTGTATGGGTGTGTAGTTGTGTGTATGGGTGTTTAGTTGTATGTATGCGCGGGTAAACGTCGCCAAATCGCGCTAAAGGTGAACGTGTGTGAGCTTGAGTTGACAGTGTGCTTATGAACGCGCTTATGTTTTTGCTGCAGCTGCGTATGTGTGTGTGCGTATGTAAACAACTGCTTCAAAAGTCATGCAGAATGCGTGTGCAAGCATGGCTATGCTTGTTTTGTATCTTTTGCAACGCTTACAGCCACTTAACGTAAACAAAAGTTTTGCTCATTATTTGCTAGCCTCTCAAGACTACATTGTTATGGCCGCTCGGCAGCCAGTGCCTGCGTTCATGCTTTAAATGTGTTCTACTTCCGCAAATATAATATATTTAGTATGTATGTATTTCGTTGACTTTAAGCTTGCGGTTAAACGCCTACAAAAATCGTACACAATTACTTATC